TTGTTCTTTGCATCTGAGACAGTTGCCTCACTGTACACAAGGTAAACTTTGTTTACTTTCTTCAAACAACCAGACTATTATGCTTGCTTGCTTCTTTTTTCATTACTTCTGTCTGCTGCAACTTTGTTTTTCCAAAAGCAGCTTCACCTTCCATCTTATCTGTTAAATGCTTTGCCATTTGGAGGACACTTCTATAAATTAAATTGCTTATAGTTTTGGGATTTTAATTTTTAATCTTTTTGTTCTATTTTCAGTTTTCTTTCTTTCATCCATTCTTCCTTCTGTTGTTTGTTTGTTTCTTTCTTTCATCCATTCTTCCTTCTGTTGTTTGTTTCTTTCTTTCCTTCATCCATTCTTCCTTCTGTTGTTTGTTTCTTTCTTTCTTTCATCCATTCTTCCTTCTGTTGTTTGTTTCTTTCTTTCTTTCATCCATTCTTCCTTCTGTTGTTTGTTTCTTTCTTTCTTTCATCCATTCTTCCTTCTGTTGTTTGTTTCTTTCTTTCTTTCATCCATTCTTCCTTCTGTTGTTTGTTTCTTTCTTTCTTTCATCCATTCTTCCTTCTGCTGTTTCTTTCTTTCTTTCATCCATTTTTCCTTCTGTTGTTTCTTTCTTTCTTTGTTCACTGTTTATTTTATATTTCTTTATTCTTTTTAATTTCTTCCTTTTTTACTATTTTCATTTTTCTTTGATTGCTATTTTTTCTCTCCAGCCCTTTCAATTCTTTTCTTTTTTCATTTCTCTATTTTTCTCTTTAAGTAAACTGGTTAAAGATGTTTACTTCTTTCCCCTTAAATGTTTTCAGCTTCAATTAAAAGATTTTAAAAAATACAATCAAAATTAACAAACAAAACAAAATCCCAGTTCATTTTACCACCCACTCATCTCATTCCATTCCTATGAACCTCTTCTAATAGAAGCAAAACAAATACAGCACCCAGTCTATACAAAAACAAGTAATGGGCAACAAGGAACAACACAAAAGACATTATTTTTCAAAGCTAAAACAGAAAGAAAACAAAATTAAGCTGACATGGGATTTGTCTTGGCTTTTACTATGGGGGTGGGGAACAGAAATAAATAATCATGAAAAAAAAGCAGGGTCCATACAGAGAAGGTTATTAAGTTGAATTCTAAGATCAGATAAAAGCGATCATCATCATCAAATGATCAGATTATAACCATAATAGAATGTTAGCATATCTTTTATGATAAGACATTGTGAGGTATGGAGATAAATTTCTTTTACTTTAATGAATCATTGAAATATTTATTCAACTCATATGAAATATAAATTAAGCCTTGATTTTTCAAAAGAGAAGAGAGTTTCAAGCATAAAATATATAAAGACATCAGAGATGTAGATATCTGTCAGTCTCTGGAGACTAGTTTACTAAGATGGTTAGTTATTGTGGTTTAAACTGTAACTATGCTGAGTAAACTTTAGTTTCTAGGAGAGTGTGCATAATTGGGTGTGAGCAACAGTTTAAACACAGCCAGTATGTGCAAACCCTCAGTAATGATATCTTGCAATTTTGTGCTAACACAACCATCAACAGCTTCCAAACCCAATTTTATTAACCCAATTTCATTCACAAAACTTGGATCAATCTGTAGTATGGTTTTCAGGCACTTCCCAATGTTGACACATGTAGGAATCATCTCCCCATGCCAATATTATCTAGAAGTCATCTCCTTGAGAAATCAGGCATAGTGAGAATTGAACCTGGGTTTCATGGTCAGAAAACTAACATTCTAACTCACAGAGTATAAATAAACAGTCTAAATAAACACTAGTCTAAATATCAATAGATTATAAATAGGTACCTCCAAATATTCGCTAATAAATGAGTATACATGATGAAAAAATGATCCAAAGTTAGTAAAAACAAAGTTTTATTGTCAAAATCTTTGTTATTATTATGAGGAAAGACCAAAGGAGATTTGATTATTAAATTATTTAATCCATTTCAGAACATTCAAAATTTTGGTTAAATTTTTTTTCTTGCATCAGCAGGTGATCATAGATTAATATGGGAAATTTTAGCATCTTTTAGCAATGAAAAACACATTGATTTGGAAATTCTTGCAAAAATCAATTTCATTTTTGTGTGGCTTAATGTTTATATTAGTTATATAAGCACAAGTCCTTGGAGAATTTAAATCATCAATATTTTTTTTTCTAAAACAGGACCCTTAATTACAGAAAATCCTCTCTGAATTGTAAAATAAAAAAATGCAACCAAGACATTTTAATTAGAAAAGCTTTTAATTGCTTTTATGAATAAGATATATTATGCTCACTATTGTCTTAAGAAAGATTTTTTTAATGAATAATGAATTTTTACAAAAATTGTTTGCATTTTTTAAATTTTAATTAAAATAATTCATAAAATTTTAAATCTTTTAAAATCCTTAATTTGTAAAACCTGATATTGTTATTAAGTAAAAACTATATTTACTAATCATAAATGAAAACACTTAGTACAATTCAGCAACCCCCATTAATTTAAAAAGAATTTTGAATTTTTTGTGTGTATGTATATAAATGTGCTGATTTTTGTTAATACAGACATCCATACAAGACATTATCAGAAAATAAGAACAGCAACTATAGTAAATTTAAAGCCAACATAGCTAAAGTTCAATGAAATATTAAATTATTTAGAATATTTTCTTAAATTTCTAAGATTATTGGGTAGTTAAAAAATTATGTAAAATAGATGCACACATTATATTCAAGTAATTTTTACAGATATTTTGCAGATAGTTTTTTAAAATTAATTTTAATCTTTATTTATCATTTTTCTTTGAAGGTAGCGTGTTATAAATTTAAAAAATTAAAATGGCTGACTGCCTTATTGAGAACTTACAAGTTTTGAAATTTCAACAGAGGCAAAATATTAATTAAAACCATAAGATCTATGAAAACTTGAATATCTAAGACTGAAAAGTCTCTCACTTATTCTGGAGAATCAGAATTTGATAAATGAAGAACCAAAAAAATGTTAGAAGTTAATTTGAAAGTCAAAAGTGATAGTATGAAAGGTTCTTTATAGTATTTAAATTTCCAAACAATTCATTGAAAACATATGGTATATAAGCATACCTCAAAGATATTACAGGTTCAATTCCAGATTACTGCAGTGAGGTGAATATCACAATAAAGCAAATCAGACACAAAAAATAGAATGTATATACTTTAATTAAAAAAACAATTTATTACTAGTAAAATATAAGACACAAATTAAGAAAATTTAGTTGGAAAAATGTTGTATGATGCAAAGTTGCTCCAAATCTATTTGTTAAATATAGCACACTATGTGCAAAGTACAATAAAATGAAGAAAGAAAATTTAAGACTGCATCTGGGTATCTATATAATACTATTAGGATTGCTTAGCAGAATGGAATAAAAAAAATTAAAAAGTTAATGGGGGGGTGCCTTGTCTCAGGTGAAATGATTAAAAAAAAAATTGAAAAATTTAATAATTAAGCATTGTCTGATAGTTCAAGTTTTTCGCCTTTAGCAAATTCTATTTTTATTGCAACAATTCTCGGCAGGTTGATAAACCAGCTCAGCTCAAAGAAATTATTTTGAATCTATCAGGATTACTAATGGATATACTAATTAACTTTTATTCCTCTAACCTGAACAATTAATTACAAAGATTGAACATGCATAGGGCTCTTTCTGGCATACAATTGTGATATATAAGAGACTAGCAAACAGAAAAGAAGAATAGAAGAGTCAATTTTGTTCAGTTATTGCTCATCGTGTTTTTACTAAATCTAACAGAGTGAATAATAACAGAGTAATACTTAATAAGAACAGGGTGAGACATAGAGAATGAGAACAATCTACCCTGGTGGATTAAATAAAGGGTTCAATTTTAAATTTCCTGAAGATTACCTGAATTGACTGATATCTGAAGAAGGAAAGTGAGCACAAACACTGTAATGTTAATAACAACATCATGATGATAGAAAGTGAGAAATTTAGACAGAAATAATCCATTTCTGTATGAAGTCCATGAATGTGAAACATGACTTAACCCAAGCAAATTCATTTGTTATATTTTTATCAAGGAAACAGCAAGAAAATAGAAAATATAGTTGTTCAGTTTTGAATCATTATCTTAAATTCTTAGATATAACAGAATTAGAATGTATCTTTTTTAGAAATTCAAAGAGCATTTAGCAAAACCTGACCACATTCATTCCATATGGCAGTAATTTGAGATCTCAATTCTAAAGATACTTTGTTGGCTGGTAGCCATTTGCTTTTCTCTCTCTAACCAAGCATCAAACAAAATGATAAGAAAGGTATCAGATAATACTGGTTACAATGGAACATTTGTTTCAATATTGCATTCTGAGAAGAAAGGTTCTTTTGAGTGACCTGCTTTCTAAATCAGCATGCGAAAGATAAGCATTGAAAGACCACAGAAAACCTGTTCTGTTGGTTTTTCTTATGTCCAATTATATTAATTGCTTACCCAAATAAAATAAAACTTGAAACTAAATTAGTGCACCAGACTTTAAATTTAAATCTTAAAATCTTTATTCTCATATACAAGTTACTTGTTTAAAATATAAAGCAAAAAGATCTCACAAACTTCATCAAAATTCAAAAACAGAAGGTAGACTTAAAAGAAAAAAAATTAAAATTTAATCATTGTAACATATTGTATTAAATATTCAACTTATTCTGCCCCCTACCCAAATATATGAGCAATCATGAATCTCCAGTTTCCTTTTAATATTTATAAACTGAATTGCAATGACAATTCTTGTAAAAGTGAACATTTTCCCATTGCCTTCTCCAATACATCAATTTATTATTTTAATTTTTCTTCTTTCAAACCAATTTGATCAAAACTGTTCATTATGAGAAATAACGGAGTAAAATTTTGGAGGAATAAAGACAGCCTTATTGTAGCAAATGATAAATTATGAAATAAAATTAAAACAAATGAAATAAAACAGTAAATATAAAAAGTTTAATGACTTACAGACTTGACCAAACCATTCTCAGATGGTTGTATTTTGGCCTTGTTGGAAAGAGAGGTCAAAGAGTAATCCAGAAGTTCAATCCCTATTTTCACAATTGACTTGCGAAATATCCGCAGTTCATACATCCCCTCAAATGGAGACCTGAAAAAGAAAAAAAACAAACAAATATACATGTTGAGCTACATTAAAAGCAGTGAATAAGAAATATGAAATCAATAAGGTATAAAAGAAACAGGACATAAACACTAACTGAATCCTGTGTTTAAGGTTTGAAAATTCAGAAGTTAAATTTTCATGACATAGACAAAGCTGTCTTTGGCACAAGGCTTGATTTGTGGAGCATCCAGTAAAAAATAAACTCACTTATGAGATACATATACTATCACTCTCAGTTCATAACAATGTTCCTTTTAACTTCAGTCAAGAGAAATACTTTTATATATTTTTATATCTACCAATTTTTATTAACAAAATTTAAATTACAGTGGCTAAAGTACACAGACAAGGATTCACCAGTCAACCAGAATTAAACAGTATTAAGTCACCCCCCCCACGACAGCATCATGTGGCACAAGGCCGGTTTAATGTGGGATCTCCAAGCCCATGGGCTCAGCCAAAAATATGCCCTTTGAACCCGTATAAACAGGTTCAGAGTCGGTTTTACCTCCCCGAAAGAGACTCTGCCCTTCGGCATAACCTCGTTCGGGTTCCTCCCCGTCCCGAAGGCAGAGAGTTCAGCCAGTTGTCAGACTTCAGACTGAACTTGCAACCAGAATTAAACTGATTCTGGAGAAATATCATGAGCTTTTATTGAGCTCCATATGCTGAACCTATTTCAATCAGTAGGTGTGACAGGTAAGTCTAACAATAAGAAAAAAGTAGAAACATTGGGTTACATTTTCTGGTAAACTGGAGGTTGTGAGTTCAATTCTTCTGCTGGGTGGGTGGTTGGCTAGCTAGTTAGCTAACTAACTAACTAACTAACACACTCACTCACTCACTATATGACATAAATATTTACCCATTATTTAAACATAAATTAAAACAAACCTGTTTGTAAAAATAGTTTTCAAATTTGGCATAAAACTTTCTAACATTTTCTTTTATTTTTTACAGTTTAATTAAATATGGTGGTGCAAACAAAATGTGATCAAATTGTCACATTGAAAATGGCTGGTATAACGAATTGTGAGGTGATGAAACAGTTGAATGTTTGCAGAAAAAAACTGTTTTTAATGTGTAGAAAAAGTTTCAAAAGAAGCAAACAACCTGACCAAATCCAATTCCAGGAAGAAACCATTCAGTTCATACCAGGAGAGTTATTGAAGCTGTCAAGAAGAGGGTGATGAGAAGTCCACAAAGAAGCAGGTGGGAAATGGCAAAAAAAAAACTGGATATTTTGAATAAGTCACAAAGGAGGATTGTAAAAGAGGGCTTAGGGATAAAAGCATACACAATTCAACAAAGACAGCAGCACTTAATGTGTTTACAGCATCCGGATAAAGATTAGTTGACGAGATATTTACCCAAAACACATTTTACATGCCATTTTTGGGGGGTGAGAGAATTTTATGCTCTCAAATATAGTAAGTTGTAATAAATACTGCAATTTAAAATATTTTTCATAAAAAAGATTTTTGCTGACTTACCTATCCAACCAGGTAATAATTGGCTTCAAAGAACTGATTATATCACAGACTGCAGTTAAGACAGATACTGTGGGGGTCTGTCTGTGAGACTCCCTCTTATTTGATCCTATATTCTTGTTTGATTCTTCTTCCATATTTTGTTTCTTCAGTTCTGCTACAAGGCTACGTGCTTTGACACTCAACTGCAGGGCTAATGACTGTAAATTCTCAGTTTCAAACCCATAACGCTGTTAAAAAAAATAAAAAATAAAAAAGTCACATTCAAAATTAAGTACATAAAGTGTCCAATTTTAAAAAGAAAAGACATTCATTAAGACCAGTTTCCTCATCTGTGGTTTTGTTATACCATTTTTACCAATGTGCTTTCCAGCCTTCCTCAGGTGATTGTTACAGTCCTTCTGGGATTTTATTTAATCTTTTATTCAGAATTACCAAAAGAGGCTACTGGACATGACAGAGAAATGTATAGAAAATGTCCTCTGTGATATTACAAGTCCTTGCTAGCAGTCTGAGTTTTTGCCAATAATCAGTCAACAATCTATTTGCAACTCACTCATTTCACCAGAACAGCATTGGGCTTTTATTCCCTTGGAATATCAACCATTGGTTGGTTCTGAGAATTTGTTTATAAGTCTCAAATACTTTTATGTAAGATGTTTGCACAACAACAACAAATCAGTTTAAATGCTACCTGGGGGGTGTCACTTTTCCATTGGGCAAGTTCACATGTTTCCCCACTACAAAGTGAAAACCTCATACCTCATTCAATAAAGTGTTTCCCCCAACATTCTTGGAAAGCTCCCAAGTTTTAAAAAAATTGACAAAGGGAAAAGGGGACAAAAAACAATGCACACAAAGGACCATAGCCTCTTTCAGTAAAGACATAAGTACTTCTCATGATAGAGACATATCAATCGTGAGTACCTGACTGTCAAATGGTCATCACTCTGTAATCAATATCAACACACCCAGTTGGTCTGAATTTAGAGTTTTCCTTCTCAATTTTGCTGCTATCCAAGGCTAGAGAACCCACCCTGTCTTATTATTTAACCCGTAGCTGGGTGAATGGAGATGGATTCATGCCTTTCCTAAGGGCATCAATACAAAGTGAATGCAACAGACTTGGTTTGCCAATTCTGCTTTCCAGATGAATAAACATTATTCTACCAGCATATCTAAAGTGTATGTTAGCCAAAATTTTGTAACAAAACAAAGTGGATTGACTGAATCAATGTATAATAGTAAAAATATCTCATCTCCAAAGTCCAGATAAAAAAAGTTGCTTTTTAGGGTTATTTTTTTAATACCTCATTCTTATTTTCTTGAATATGCATTTGTTTAAGATCCTAAGATCAGAGTAGATGAGCCCTTAAACAAACCAGTGTCATCCCAGAATTAGTTTATCAGCCCAAAACAGTATCAGTAAGAAACTGTTAGTTGTATAGTCAACCTTGACAGAGACCAATACGACAAGACACACAAACAGAGTTTTCAGCATATACTAAGTTTAACAGGAAATGTTTTTAAAACAATATAATGGAGAGGAATTTTCTAGATCCCGCTCCAGACCAACTGGTTTGTAAATCCAAAGCTTGACCACAAACTTGAGCTTCATCATTTAGAACACAGGATTAATTTGAGGGTTGGATTTTGAAAAAATAATGTTTATATAGCACAAATTATGGTGTGTGTGTGTGTGTGTGTGTGTGTGTGTAGAAAGCAAACAGCCCCATCAAGATTCAGTGATCTGATTACCAAAATGAAAAAAATAAGTTTTCTTGAATTTTAAAATCATAATGTATTTTATTCTTGAAATTCAGTAATGTGAAATGAGTAGCCATGGTTATATGCAAAATAAGTAACAGAACTGCCCAACAAACAAAAATGACAAAGTTTCCAATAATCAATAGCAATAACAAAAAAAAAAAAAGAATAGGGCAAAAATAATATAAAGCAAACAATCTATGTAAGGCAAATTAACAGTAATAAGACAAAGCGACAGTAATATGCCAAAACAACATTCACAAACTAAGAATTGGGGTTGACACACAAAAGCAACTTCAGACAAGTGAATGTAGCATTCTAACTTCAAGACAAGACAGATGGGACATAGTCAGATAAAACCGAGAACCTGCCTATTTTATTGACTAGTAAAAAATCCCAGTATGTATTTGTGTACTTCTGCCTATACATTGGGGAAGGGTGGTAAGTGTTTTGCATTGCAGTCATTCCTGATAGATTGGAATCAACAAGTAATGGTGGTTGCAAACATGTACAGACAATTTTTTTTTATTTTTACACTAGAACCAAATATCCATTACTGTATGTGAAAAATAAGAGAATTGAAGGTTTTCAAGTCAAGCTATATTAACACTAACAATACTATTTATGAAAAAGAACCTCTTCAAATTCAAGCAGCCTCTTGAAAACTAATATGCCAATATAGCTCCAGTATTATAAGCAATATTATAATAGTAATTAGGATCTTAGTTTACTCTATAGTCTTAAGTAGGTAAAGCCCATTAACTGACTTATCTTTCTATGAAAGAGATAATTCTTGCCATTTTCAATAAAAGTCATTTACAATCAATTTAACTTCTGACAACTATGACCATTTCCACTTGACTGCTATGTGACACATCACTGAATTTTAAGAATTTATTCTTTAAATCTTATTATCTCCTTCATTAAATTTTCTGCAACAGAGAATCAAGTGGAAATGCTTCTTTTTACAAAAGAAATCTTCAACAACTATGATAATTCTGATTGCATTTGTCTAGAGTTTTAAGATAAATTCTAAAATTAAAAGACACTAAATTCTAAGTATGATAGACTAAGCAAAAATTTATAACCTGATATAGGTTTCAGATTTGTTTCAGACCTTTATCAATGATTCAAGAGGACAAAGAAGCATAAAAACAAAAATTTAGACTTTGATAAAACAAAATAAACAACTCATTCAGGTTGCCACATTTTCATGCATCAGAAAAATGTTTTTTTCTGACATACATTTTATATACAATATGTTTGTCTTAAGTGTTATATTTTCAGAGTTTGTTTTGCAAAAGAAAAGCAGAAATTTGTCAATTCCATGAGAAGTAGTAATAAACATAATTTTACTGCTATCAAAATGGAAAACAAATAACATACCAAAGAGAGAAAAATATTAACTTAAAATGCCCAAAACTAAGCTTTCCAGCGAAAAATACATAAAAATATGTATTCTGCTTGCCATTCAAATTTCAGCATTTTATCAAATCTGGCAATAAGGTGATGAGAAAAAACGTTTTAGTTAGCAATTTTGATACCCTAATAAAATTTTGGCTTCATCTTATAAAATATATTTTTACTGTAAAACTAAGCTTCATTATTTTCATTAACAGACAGTATCTAAAGTAAACAGTCATTAAAATGTTAACATTTACTTCTGTATTTCATTCAAAACAAGATTTAAATTATTTAACTTAATGTTTTATTTCTCTACCAAAAGAAAGGGCAATTTTAATGCAAACCCAATTTACAACTGTAAATACATTTCTTCATCTGCATTGTTAAAATATATTCTCTTTTACTCCTATTTCTATTTTGAAAAAACAAATACTGATTTTTTTTTCACTCCATTGGCAGAAATTCTATCTATTCATCTATGGGTAAGAAAACATTAAATGCACATTTTTAAAAATTAGAAAAATATTTACCAATGCAGAGAGTAGTCCAACCGATTCTAGGATGAGTTCCTGGTGACCAATTTTTGTAACATTGAGTTTTTCCAGGTCATAATGTGAAAGCATGAAGAGTTTTTTTCCATCAATGCCATTATTAAGAAAATAATGGGCATATGGGAGCATAACATCATCAAGGCCTGAAAGTAAAACAGATACAACATAATTCAGGGGAGATAATAGAAAAAGCTTTGCTCAAAGTGAAAGTTGTATACTGTATGAAATAAAAGAAACATGGTATTTGCATAATTTACAGTTGCTGGAAGTACTTTTAATAAAATTCTTTGTCAGACTGAGAAACAGTTTAAGCTTTGACAATGAATATCAAAATCACTAGATGAATAAAAAAAATGGTATCAGTAAAATTTTAATTATTAATCATACATTGATTTTCCATTACACATGCGCACACACACACATATATATATATATATATATATATATATATATATATATATATATATATGGATTACAACAGAAATTAGTCAAAAGTAGTTTGTATCCTTACCATAATTTGAAAGTCATAGCTAATTAGATTGTTTTTACTTAAACATATATTACTCAATTTCTTTGCAATGGGTCTTCTAACTCTAGCAGTGAATCACCTAATAGTCACTAAATTTATAGATGATGATAAAAGCAGTGAAAGTAATGACTGTCCTTAAGCATTTGACAAGATATTTCATTGATATGGTTTTACAAAAATATCCCCATTCCTAGTGGTTAATTAACTGATAATTGCTTAATAAGCACAGTTTTATGTCTTACTGATTTTTTGTTCCACTGGGTTTAGGGTGGAAAGATAAATTATATAAGAATGGCTGCCAAAAAGTTGAATCAACACAAACATGACATGAGATGTGGTAAATTTAACCACTGTTTTATTCAAACTGCCACTTAATCTGTTTTGCTCCCAGCTTTCCATAGTGGAACCGGAAGTGCTTACAATCATCATAATCAACATTATTGATATTGTTATAAACACTCTTAACTCTTAAAAAATGAACCAACATCACTCAATTTCTTACTAAGAAATTCTAAACTGATAAATTGATGAAAGATTTATATTTTACCTGCATGATTCCTGGTTATATTCATTCAATTTTTTTTTTCAGAGTTACATTAACAACATTAATAATATATCACAGTTGTACTGAATGTAATATGTATAGCCCTACTGTCATTGCTAGTATACTTCTGCAAGTAGGCATGGAGCCACACATGTACTATAAGTGAAGATCACATAATCAGCTGAGTAAAACTGATTATGTGGATACATGCATAGCAGAGCAAAGTGAGAGTTGGTTGATAAGTTAGCTTCAAAATTCTAAAACACTGATGCCAAAATTTCAGTATTTTCTTTCATCTTTTACATAAAATTAGAACAAGTACTTAGATTATTATGAAAGAAGTCAGTTAAATAAGGTAAAAAAAATCAAACAAACCCTCAAAAAAAACAGAAAATGCTATAAGTGAAAGGTTAACTGAAGAAAAAGCCACTTTCTGGATAACTTATGACATTACAAAGTATTTCTTTATGTATGGAAATAATCAGTGTTTGTTATAAAAAAAAAAAAGAAAGAAAAGGTTTCTGCATTTATTTCTTTTCATTTCTAACTTTATCTCATTTGGCCTTCATAGTAACACTAAAAATGAAATCCAAAGAAGTCATTTGGGATTTAAAGGTACACTATATTTTTGGAGGAGGCTACCAAAAGGTGAAGCAAAACAGTATTCTTAATTTAAGAAACAAATGTTTCTCATTTTAACATGAGATCAACTTCCACCCATCCAATTTATGCAGTTTTCATTATGCAACAATGTCTCTTGGGCTGATAATGTTTGGATTTTGGCATTTCAAGAACAACATTCTAAGCCTTATTGAGTCTAAATTTAAGTTCTTATTTAAAATCTATTTTCCTTTCCCTGCATTGAAATGGATCTGTAAACATTCACAATTAACCTGGAACTGGAACTTTATTTAGCAGATATGAATTGTAATAGTGTCAGTTTTGGTGGAATTAAGCATTGTTTTCTTGTTTTTGTCTTACCAACACAGAACTGAATACACACCTTATGATTACAAACATCCAATAAACACTCACAAGTGACAAGATGAATAGAGAAATATATTCAACCAAGATTTGTATTATGTATTTGGTATTACGTGTATTTTGTATAAGTTAAAAAGTAATGCAATTTGTTTTATTATATAAGAAATAAGGAACACAATCAAACATATCGTACATCAAAATATAGCTATACATTACAGGTTCACATATGTACTTCTCAACAGGGTCATCAGCTATTAAAATAGCAATATTCCCCATATGAATGAAGGCATGTATTCATGTCTTCATCACTACCATAACATTTGTCTGTCAGTTCCTCTTTTATTGAAACAAAGAGATGAAAGTCTGAGGAGAGGGGGAGGGGGGCTTGTCTCTCAGTTCCTCTTTCATGTAATGTTCTTTTTTTCTATAGAACCCTTTTCTTACTCTATATTCTTAGGTTTTCCAGATTTTAAACTGAAATAGTTTTTATTTCTCTTCTAGATTTTGGTTCTTGTCTAATAAAATATTTTCATGGCTCAACATGCAGTAAACTTAAAGGCAGGCTAAAAATATGGATACAAATATAACATTAGGACAAACCCCAAACTTGGTCAGTTCCAGACTTATTGTAAGCTGAATTTTTTAGATGAGCCAATATCAGTTATTAAAATTTTAACTGATATTTCTTTCATCTTATTTCTCAGCAGCCACCAAAATCACCATCAACAGACTGAACCTGGTGAATGTTGAGCATCCAATGTAAAAGTTGTTAAAAACTGAATCAAGGCCACTTACGCATCACACCAGGAGCTATTCAAAATAGTCTTTGGCAATCTTTGGCTAACACAAACCATCAAGCTCATAGTTTACCGAGCTGTTGTAATCTTGACTTTCCTGTGTGTCTGTGATACCTGGGTACTCTACCCAAGAGCTATCTACAACTTCCATTAAATCCTGCAGAACATGTGGCAGGACCGGATCACAAACAACAAAGGTCTTTGTACAAAGATAGAGAGCTTAGAAAAAACTATCATGACCCACCACTGACTTCAATAGGCCAAACACCTTGCCAGAATGCCAGACATCTGCCTAGCCAAACTAATTCTCTTCTTGGAACTCACATCTGGCAAAAGACCATGTGGAACCTCACATCATCGATTTAAGGAGCAGCTCAAAAACACCTTGCTGAGGACAGAAATTGATCCGGTCAATTGGGAGACAGAAGATGCAGAAAGAACCACAAGAGAACAGTCCATGAAAAAACAACATTCTTTGAAAACACCAGAAGACAAATAGAAGAGACAGAGCCCAAAGAAAAGCCAGAGCTCTCCATACCCTGAACCCTTCTACCCTACTATATGGTGGCTGCAGATGTCTCTTCAGATCCAACATAGGGCTCATTTGATTTAGAAGGAAATTTGATGAGCACCCCAATATTTGGCAACAATTTTCGCCAACAAAGACGACAATGATTTCTCAACACAAAAGACAAAATACATAAACGTAATATCCTAAAGATTCTATAGAAATCAAATGCACCACAATTACAACAAAGAATGAAATAGCATAAAAAGATAGACATATTATTTTAGTTTGCATATATATCTACAATAGTCCAGTAATATCTACTCACAAAATATGTGGCCATTTAACAGGTAAGTAGTTTACATATACAAGTCAAAATGTTATTATTGCAAAAACAGTGTCACAAATAAAGTTTAAAGAATGATTATTTAATTTGATGAAGGTTGACAAAACTTTTCTACAAAGTTTAGAGAAAAAAATGTTAAGATTGGATTAAATTTGCATATCTCCATTAAATTTAGGATTGGTAGAGGTTGTTGCTTTAAAAAATAGACCCTTAATCCCATCTTTTTTAAAATGCTAAATCAGGTTGCCTATAAAAGAGTTGATTTCAAATTTAACATTAAACCTCTATCATATGTTCTGGTGAACATATGCAAGTATATAACAAAAACTACCAAGTTGTAAAGGAATTACATTCTAATACTGCCTAACATCATTTGCTCATTAAAAACAAAAGTTGACAATAATGCCAAGAAAACTATTCACTTGTGATTCAAAAACAAAATATTTAAATTATTCCTTTTAACAAAGGATCACTATTCTAACTGAAGCATACAGACATTATTATTTGTTACTGTTAATTATCACCTAAGTAACATATAATTAAATAATTAGGGACAGAAAATAATTCTGCTGTATATAGCATTGTGCCTCAGCTTGACTGTACAACACACAGAAATCTCCAAGAGCTTTATTTCATTTGTTTAAGAACAAGCTAATGTAATCATGACATTTAGTAGACTGTTGGTTTAGCTTGTGGTTAAAGCACTGAACTGTGCTTCACAATATATGGTGTTCAATACCCATAAGCAAATAAATTTGGCTCAATTTACTACTTTAAGAAAAAAAAAGTCTTACTACAAATGGAATACAGGTGAGCCTCTTAATAGTGTCCTACTTAACAACCATTTTATACAACAAACAAGTCATACCCATATACATAAATGTGAAACTTACAAAGGGGTGCTGTAAAGTTCCAGTAATAAAACCATCAGGCTATGGACAGAGGAAGAAGATTTTTTAAAGAAAAGATGTGCCTGAGATGATGAAAACACAGTATTTCTTAGGGTATATATTAAACCATAAGTAAATCAAATCAAAATGATTTAATTTAATATAGGTATCTCCAAAAGTTTTCTAAAAAAAAGAGCATAACATAATGAAAAAGGCCCCAAACTTGATGAAAACAAAATTTTATCATCAAAATGTTTATTATTATTAAGAGGAAAGATTAAAGTATTTTTTGATTATTTTATTAAATATTTTAATCCTTTTTAGCACCTTCAAAATTTTTAATTAAAAATTTTTTTTTTCTTGCATCAAAGATTTGGTCAAATATTAGTATGAGAAATTTAGCAACTTTTTTGTGGTAAAAATACATTGTTTTGGAAATTCTTGCAAAAACCAAATAATTGTGGGATTTTAATGAAATTTTCAGGACTTATTCACAAATGAATGTAATTATCTTTTTTTTTTCTTTTTTTTTTTAGGAAATCTTG